ATATTACAGAAAATCTCGTGCTTTATTAATTGTAAATTATTTTGCAGAAATATTAAATATACAAGAGCATCACCCTCTATACAATGAACAAAGCACCATCTACGCGGGAAAAAGCGTCACATTGTGAATAATCGCAATCGTGATCAACATCGAGTCTAGCTCGCGAAAATATAACAAGTGACTGTTTAGCATATCCCATCAGAACATTCAGAACCGGCGCGGTGGAAGAGGTTGCCTTTTGCGAGAATGCCTCAAATCATGGCAGAGGCATTCGCGAGAGGACTGCTAGACAAGATAATGATAGAAGTTCTGGACGTTATAGATCGCGATGCAGAGGATGGTAAGGTGCAAGCTCGTCTGTACTTCTCGCGAATGTAACGGCGGATTGAATAATGAATAGAGACGTTGTTGTATGCGTATACGATGTTGTTCATTGATAAACGCCATTTCACGATGCCGTTTCGCAGCAGCATCACTGCGATTGACATGTATTTCGCGAAGATAACTGCGCGCAGACGCGTATAATTATCCCTATTAGACGCTAATAATGTATACGCGATAAACACTGTTATTAGGAAAATCCTGGGAACAGCACGTCAATGAGGAAACAGGCGGAATATCGGAATATGCTCATTCGGAATATGTATACGGTAGACAACAAGCAAACGAACGTACGCACGTGAATTACAGCAAGGATGAAGAGATAGACTTGATCGCAAAGATAGTGCGCGATTTGCGTGACATACGGATCGGAGATTCGCGCTATGTACTTCCACCTTCATTGTTAGCGTTGGAAAAACAGGTAATTGGATGTAGCTACAGAGGTAACACCGACTTTCCAAGACGTAATTATTCTATTATAATCAATTACATAAAGATTATAGTTATTTAAGAAAAGAGAAGGGGAGAGAGGGAGGAAAGGTAATAAAAATACAAAAAATTTCAAAGAATAAAATTTTTAATAAGTCGAATAATACAATATCAAATTGTTTTTTTACATATACTATTTTTTTTAAGTCGTCAAGATAATTTATTTCTAAAAGGTTATTGCGCTAGCTTCAGCAGTTCTATGATCAAGTAAAATTGCAATCGTACCTTTTTTGATATTAAAATATTAAAGAAATGTACTTGTTTAATTTTGAATTTTATAAGAAATTAAGTTAAAGTTAACATTGAATTTTGTATGTGTTTATTTCATCACAGTCGGCTTTAGCTTATACGTGAGCCGTATAGCTACAATTGCAGAGCACTCACGTGCGACAGGTCTCGCAACACACTCGCGGTTGACTCTAGTGCCGCATTTGTATCATATTAATTCCACACGCAACTACACCTTGCGTGTTAGGATAAGAGGGTTTACTCACGCTTGTCCTCGCTTGAACAGGTGAAATGCACCGCATGCAACGACGACGCGCCGCTCACGAATCCGACAACCGACGTTGCCGAAACTCAGCGCACGACCCGAGGTCAAGGTGACACGCACCAGATTGTACACGCGGCGATCTTCGAGCCACCGACCGAACTGACGGAGTCGGTGAAAATGGTACGGAAGAAGAAAGAAGGCGAAGTGGCCAACGAGGCTACCAACGTGTCCGTCGGCCTGTTACAGCAGCTGATCGAAGATCTGGAGAACAAGGCGGTCTCAGCCTGCTCCGAAAACGATGCTCCTTTAGAGTCGATCAGCAAGGAACACGTTGCCGTTTGCGAGGAGAAAGAAGAGCAATTCATTAGGACTATCGAGAGCAATCCTGGCGACACACACGAGATGACAATGAAGACTCTTCGAGGTAGCGAATCAATCGGGCGCTTCCGCGTCATCGAACTGAAGCACGACGAAGAACTGAGGTCTCACTCGAGTCACCACGTTGCGTCCACCTCGAGGGAAGTCGCCCTCGAGGAAGTTCAGATTGAGAAACGCGGTTCAAACTCGTTATCGTCGTTGAAACTGTCGCGCGACGACGGCATCACGACCGCGGATCAGATACTACCCATCAACGACGCGGAGAAGCGAAAAACATTCAACGAAGCGACAGCAAAGAAGAAGAAGAGAGGCTTTGGCAGCCGATTGAGGAAACTCTTCCGCGCCGCCTTCGGTCGCCGAAAGAATTGATGCTGTGAGTTCCAGAAGGAATGCTATCTCGCAATATATATGTTAAACGGCGACGATTCCCGTTCGCTCATGCAGCAGCTTTTTAGTCATGTATTTTTTAGACAGAAACCACGTCCACGAATATACAGCGAGTAAAAATAAACTGGCCGCGGGCGATCCCCGCAACTTCAGCATTCAATACAATTTCGGTGCGACGCGTGAATCAGACTCTCTATATACATTCCTAGATAGTATTTGCAAGCGTTGTACACGAACCCGCAAAATTCTGTAAAATATATAACGTCTGATGATCTCACACAATTCGTCTCACGTTCTTGACAACGGTTAGCTTAAGCGATTTAGTTTAGAAATCGATAGCCGTATAGAAGCTGACTCGCGGCGCCGAAGGCCGAGAGTATATTTTTGCCCGATGCGTCTATCGGCCGCTGCAGATCTGGCAATCTGACATAGGAATGTCGTTGTCGACGTCGACGTCGAAACCCCATTTTACCGCGGCAGGAAGAGACATTCGCCGACTCTCGCCTCCTCGTCGCTTCTCGAACTGTTTTTGGCGCGCGGCGTTGCCATGCCCCGTCGTCATCGGTCCGGACCGAGACTCCTCTCGCAGATCTGGATCTCAGCATCATTCGAGGGTGTCCTCGTAGCGCCATCTGCAAAAATAAAATGAGTAAATTTGGTAACACCGGGTACCACTTCTGGTTCAGGCTCCGTTCAGTCAACATCCACTGGTACCAGACGATCGACAATGGTAAGTCTCGATATTCAGCCTCTTTCTTCTTCGCGATTGAAAATCTCCCTGACAGTTCTTTCTCGTGAATGACACAAATTTAATAAATTACCGTTGAATTATTTTTTATAAATTAATAATGTAATATCGAGATATCGAAATGAAAAGCTTCAATATAACGAAAACTTCTTGTATTTCAGGCAGACCTAAGCAGCAAGGATGTCGAAAGTGAGTAAAGCAATCTTCAAATAGTTAATATTTTCGACGCGTCTTATACAAACCGTATGGAAGTAATTAACGAAGATGGATTAATCAATTTACACTAGTGAAGCTATAAGTGATTTCTACATGTACCTCGTAACTTGAGTCACGCGATTAGAAGGAAGTGAATAAAGTTTCGACAGAAAAACGTAGAACTTTCACCATTACCAAAACCGGCAGTAAAGTTTATGTAAAATTAAGTCACGTCATTAACTAGTGACGTCATTAATACTAAAATAACATATTGTAGATTTTTATTAAATTACAATTATTAACGTTTCTTAACAACAGTTGAACCAGTGTGAACAATCTCTTTATTAAATGTAATTATTTTATTCTGTGATCATTATTGAATTATATAACAGAATATTTAAAAGATTAAAAAGATATCGGCAGATTTTGTGAAACATTTTATTTAACTCTCTTCGGTACTAGAGAAACAAATATTTTCAATATTCCGCTTCGTATTTAAAGCCCATACTTGTTTTTGTATTCATTTTTTTTAACAATTATTTTTTTATCGAGTTTAATGAATCATAACTCGCGAATTTTCCTCACGGAATTTTCAATTTATGCGTGTCGCGTGCCATTTTTGACGTTACATAATAGCTAGATGGGTCGGGTAGGTGGATACGACCGTTCCGTAGCGCGTCAAAAATAGGTTGGTAGGCTGTTCTTATATGGTTCGGCGGGGGTAATCTGACCCACTACTTCCACCACCGGCTTCTTCAATCAGCGGTGGGGCTTACTGCCTCTCCCAAAATAGAAGAATATTTTTGAAGAAAGGTACGCACGCCGTACTTCATGTCTACGACTGGGTATTAACCCAGATTTCGCACCTCGCATATTTAAAAGCGAGACCAAATATCCATGGCTGACGATGGCAAGATTTAGCTTAATCCCGAAGTGATCTTGTTATCAAGAACGTTAGTTGTCGGTGAAGATTATACACTTATAGTATAGCTAGAAAAATGCATAAGAAATTATTTCCTTTTGTTCAAAAGGGGCAGAATTCGCCTTCTCCATTTACGACTCTGACGGCACCAACGTCATCGATGCGGTTGATCTTGGCAACGTTCTTCGCGCGTTGAACTTGAACCCGACAAATGCGACCATCGAAAAGATGGGCGGCACGAAGAAGAAGGGCGAAAAGAAACTGAAACTGGACGAATTCCTGCCTATCTTCAGCCAGTGCAAAAAAGACAAGGATCAGGGGTGCTACGAAGACTTCCTCGAATGTTTGAAGCTGTACGATAAACAGGAAAACGGAACGATGCTCGGCGCGGAATTGTCCCACACACTTCTGTCACTTGGTACGATTAGCTTTTTTTCATCACCAACAATTAATTTAAAACACGTTAAAAAGTGATAATACAAATTTTACTTTTATTACGTAATTGTATTATACATGTGATATAATCTCGTATAATATATTACTTTTAGTAGATAATTCATTTATGTAAGTCTTACAATTAGAATAGAATAGTCTGTGTGCTGCTTGATTATGTTGAAAATAATAAATATTCATTCGCGAATATTAGCTCTCAAAAGATAGTGTATAATTGAATGCTCTACCTATAAAGGCAATAAGTTACATAATATTATATAATATAATCTAAATGGTCGAATTTGTCATAGGTGAACGTCTTACTGACGTGGAATGCGACGAAGTCATAAAGGACTGCATGGACCCAGAAGATGATGACGGTTTCATCCCCTATGCCCGTAAGTATCGATTTTACGCCGTTACCATGAATGCACCCCCCCTCCCCCCCAAAAAAAATAGACAAAGAGTGTCAAATCACCTGCATTGCATTAGAATATGTTAGTTTGAGGAAAACTGTTAATGTCCCTATCTACTTTTCAAGAATCCCTAAATCTGTTTCGTTAGAATTAGAAAGTCCCCCTTGTACATAATGTATGAACTTGGAGCGAGACGCTACCGTGTCTCTTCAAGGTCCCTAAATCTCTGTTTCGTTAGAATTAGAAAGTACCTCCCTTGTATATAATGCACAGTTGACAAACCCTTCGGTTCGATAATACGGCCCTCCGGTAACTTCCGGCAACGTGAAGAGATGTCCCGGACTCAATTTGTTCCCCCCTCCATCATTTGACACTTCCACATTTTTGTGTTTCACAGCCTTCTTGAAGAAGATGATGGTGCTGTTGTAAACGGTCGAGGTGTATATCCAGACAATGATCATTCATCGTGAGTACATCCTGTAGTATACGATTCCACGATTGTCCGCCATTTCTTGTTGATCTATTTACCTTTCTATCTTTCTGCCTCTTCTGTCTCTTCGTCTATGTTCATTAACATCGTCTCGTTCACGCATTTTCTCGCTGAGCATATTCCAGACTTTATAGGACGCAACGTTGCAGCTCAACCAGGGATGCTGGAAATCGATAACCCGCTTCTCGCGCAGAAAACACGTACGAAGGTTTTGCTCGCGCGCGAGGTTAATGACCTGATGAGATCTTCGAAGCAAATTACACAGAATAAAATTAATCGAAACACTCACAAGAAATTAAAACGGAGCAGAAAAAAGATATATTAAACAAAATTTTTTTTCTACATAGATACGCGTTATATTCTTAAGTTTTGATTTTTATTTTATTTAACATCGTAATTCTGTAATTTTCTTGAAGAAAAAGACGAATAATTAGACATAATACAATTTCATTACATACGTTTCATATTAATTATACAATTGCATAAATTCTATTCTGTATCCATAATACTTCTGTCGTAAAAATAATTTTTAATACGTTAAACTCTGTATTTCTCTGCTACGCGACTTATTAATGCTTTTTGTACATTTATGTATCTATTGCTTCTATTCTCGTATTTTGTCGCTTTGCTATTGAGAAAAATCTACATGGCAGCGCAGAGTTAAGCACTGACTGCTATTTAAATTAGACTAAATCGTTCAGGATTGTCAGCTTCGCGCATAAACTAATTCTTTATTATCTGCCTTAAAATACATCGTTTATCGTCTCTGTGAAAACATGCTTATTCACTTGTCAATGTTTCGCGATTTGTGCCCAACGCGGAAATATATATTGATCATTCTATTTCGTTCGCAGCGTTCCTTCGTAGACTGTGTGAGAGAGCGGCAGCACCAAGCGACGATTAGTAGGATGATCGCTGTCAACATCTATGCGCCAAGCTCCACGTCGACGATGGACACATTCGCCATATTCGCTCGTCACATTCACCACTCTTCTCATCCCCCTCCCGCTGGATCACCTTGCAAGGATCCATTTGACAATTTGCACGTAAATCGCGATTCTGGAATCAGCAACATCAATGCGTCAGCAATAGTTTATTGAAAGAAAAGCAAGAAAGAAGAAGGGCCCCATGAACATCAAGTATACAAAAGGAAAATAATATTTCATCTCGAAATGCACGCGATATCGTTATTCGATTCGGTTTCATGCGATACAGCGTCCGTTAAATTTACAGAATGCAAAATATCTTTATATAGCAGCACTGTACAAAGTCAGATGAAACGGTCGATGTTAATTTACTTCTTACTGTTACTGTAATAAATCGCTCCTCTCGAACCGATGGAGAGGATTAAAAGTCTCTCGCTTTGCATTGTTATCTCGAAAGTATCCTGTTTGTTACGCGTTGTGCTCTCTTTTGAAATTGTCATACTTCATTCCCTTGTTTAATATTTGTAAAGTTCAAATGATTACAATTTATTCATATGTCGCCTGCGTATATGTCGTGAGAGCGCAAGCTTTAGTGACGCAAAACAACGCTGTGACAAAATATGATGTTACAAAGACCGTCAGATTAGCATGGAGTCTTTGTCGCTAGCGTATAAGTCTGACTATTTTTGTCTGACTGACATTTTCTTGCTCTACTTAAGCAATCGCGTGAGAAGCACAGACAACTACAAGGCATGCCACTATTGTCACTGCCGAAATCTATTTAAAAGTTACATCAGCACGCTCGATTTCTTATATATCGCGTACTATCTTTTCTAGACTTTACGTATTTCGTATGATATCGCCGTTAATCGTTCAAGTAGAAGTTCCCTTTCTCTTTATTCGACGTACTTTCGTAAGAGCCGTACCTTATTACCGAATAATTATAATTTAAGTACTAGGAAACTATCTTGGAAATTTGTTTTTAGTTGAGTCAAAAGTTTAAAGGACAAGACTTGAGTAACTTTCGCTAGCAAAACGGCGAGTGGAATTTAACTGAATGAAATTCTCGCGTGAAATTGGAAATAACGGAAAACGATACAAGTCTCATGATATTTTTGCGCAAAGTCATTCGCGAATCAGTTTAGATTCAGAGGCCGGCTCGAGTTTTTTTTTTTTTTCCAAGAAAGACATCCGCTGATCCCCGGCGCATATTTATCATGGCACGCATCTCCTCAGCATCCTATGTGAGCGAGAGAGGGAGAAACAGCACGGCTCGATCGATAAATCTGCGTTTAAAGCGCGGATTTCAATGAGATCTCTCTCTCTCTCTCTCTCTCTCCCCCCCCCCCCTCTTGTCGCTCATCGTCATCGTATACCTGCCTGATGGCGCGCGCGTTTGTTGTGGGTGGACGGACACGACGCGTCCGTTCGTACGCGCTCGGCAGGCTTCGCTCACAGGGACAGAGGAGAGAGAGAGAGAGAGACAGGCGTGGGGCCACACAGCTTTTGGTCCCGGCGAGCCGGCGGCCCGAGCCAGTCGGTTCAAACGCGTCGGTTCAAGCGCAGCGCGTCTCCCGAGAGTCATCATCTCCCGTCAACGGTGTCATCGTCTGCTTCACTTTCGCAGCTCGTTTGTACTTCCCGTTCACTCGTCCTCGCGCGCAACGCTTCGCGTACGCGTGCAAAAATCCTTGAACGCCGTTTGCGCAACGCGCGCGCGCGCGCGAGCGCGAGAGGGCACGTCGAAGCGGAGTGCTCGACGCGGAGTGAGGTCGCGGGAGGAGAGAGATCTCCGCGAAGAGCAGTGTCCCCGAGACGACGACCACCGCCTAGACGCGCCCGCGAAGGATGACGGACGTCCACCAGGTGAACCCGGGCAAGGACGTCGCCGGCGGCAGACTGCAGCAGAGCGGAGCGGCCCAGCAAACAGGTTGGTCCACGTTCGCGAAAATTTAGCTCTCTCTCTCTCTCTCTTTCTCGCGCGCGCGGTTCCTCCACCGCGTCGACATTTATTTTCGCGATCGCTGACAACCTTGAGACGCGACGTCTCTCCGTGGTCCACGGACAGCCGATTCGAGCAGCGGGCAGCGCGCCGCGCGCGCCTTCCGCCATTTTGACCCGACCCGCGTAGGAGAGAGGATCCGCGATCTCGCGGGAAAAATCGCGCTTTTCCGCACCCGTCGCATTGTTCCCCCGCGGCCGCTGATCTTCTCACGCGATCGTTAAAATGAGCTACACGTACGTGGACTATACGGTGTTCCTGATCCGTTTGCGCGATAACGCCGGGCGCGGTCCATGAGAAACGCGCGCGCGATAAGTACCAGAGAGACAGACGACTCTATTTCAACCCTTTCGGGCGCTCGTTAAAACTCGAGAGCACGAGAAATGTGTAGCGCTTTATTAGATTTCTTTCCGGAAACTAAAATTGTCTTAAAAACGAATGAAAGACTCGTTAAAAATATGCAATTATGGATCCCTGCGAGGCATCCCCGTTCATTAGCCTTCTAGAAACGTCGATGGACAATTTCTCCTCGAACGCATCGTCGTTTCATTTTAGCAAAACATTCTTCGTGATATAAATTGAAACTCGTTACGAATTAATCAACATTGATTTCTGTCTATTTGATTTTCTCACTAATAACTCAATTGTTGTGCTCATGTTTGTTAATTTCCGTGTCATTTATCACACGTTGTAATCTTCATTTTGTATCACAGCGTGCTTAT